TGCACCAACTCACAAAATTGAAATAAAAATACGATAGGTAGGTAATGGCTATAATAAACACAATCGCTTTACTGTCCGTACGTTACTATTCGACATATTTTGTTGTTCGACTTTTAGATTAAACAAATTAATATAATAATATCTAAATATATCATCGATTATAAATAGTATTATATTTTATTTTAGTTCGTAATGCAWATGCTATTATACGACGTGTATCATGCTTATTTTATTATTATTGTTTATTTGTATTGTTCCTCGGCATCGGCACTCGACGTTCGTTCCACGGAAATTTTAGTCTGTTATTTATAACTTTGGTTTCAAGTTTTAAATATAAACTGTTTTATACTTGGTTCATCAATTTATTTTATTCTTTTACAAAAAAAACATTAATTATAATTTAATTATTTGGAAATAACGGGATTAAAACGGGACAATCTTCTAAAAACGGGATAAAAAGCGTCCCGTTCGAAGTTTTTTGGGACAACGGGACACGATGATCAAAAAGGGGACAATCCCGTTTTAAACGGGACGTATGGTCACCCTAGTTTAGTTACACGGTCCGAGACCGGTACGGCGTTCAAAACAGCACCGGTGTTAGAAGCCCACTTTTTTAAATCAAGACCCGATTTTTTAAGAATTGAGATTAGATTCGATTGTAGTTTTAATACGTCTTAGATCGTGTCTGCGCCATCGCAGATATCGTCGACATAGGTTTGGCGTGTAATCGCATTATACACCGGCTCGCAGGTATCGCAATCGTCTCGCGCAATAACCTGCAACACGCGCAGCGCGAGATAAGGTGCGCAGTTTACGCCGTATGTGACGACGGTATTTAATTCGTACTCCACTAATTCGTCATGTGGAGACGCGCGCCATAATACGTGTTGATACCGTCTGTACTCGGGTAAAATTAACACCTGCCGGTACATTTTACATATATCGGCCGTAAATGCGTATCTATGGACCCGGAAACGGATTAATACGTCAATAATGTCCAACTGGAGTTTAGGGCCCTGCAATAAGACCTCATTCAACGACGGCCCGCGAGCACCACGCGCGGACGCGTCAAAAACAACTCGAATTTTATTATCATCCACGTCAGGGCGGTATACTGCATGGTGCGGAATTAAGTACTGACCGGGCGACGCGGCAACCGACATGTGTCCCAACGAAATGTATTCGGACATAAACTGTATATATAATGATTTAAGTTTCGGATTGTTAGTCAATTTTCGTTCAAGAGACTCGAAACGACGCACAGCTATGTCGCGGGAACCGGAAAATGTATCGGCGGACACTTGTGCGCGGAACGGAAGTGGCACTGAAAACCGGCCAGAAGGCAAACGTACGTGTTGATCGTGGAATATCCGTTCGCAACGTCCTTCGTCGGTAAAAATTACGGGGGCAGGTTCGGGCTCCTCCACTTGCCAAAATCTTTCTACTAACCCTTCTAGCGAAACGGTCAACGACACGAGTAAAGATTGGTGTGGATGCGTAAATTCATGAGACAGGGGGCCGATCAAAATCCATCCGAAAATCGAACTAAATGCTGCAGGGAGAGTACTATTTATAGTCACCTTCCGCCCATCCATAACTGAAGCATATACGTCACCGCCTAGTAACAAATCAATTAACGACGAGACATTAAACATAGGGTCAGCCAACGCGAGGTTCGAGTAATGAATTAGAAGTTCACGCGGAAGTGTCTCTCGCTGCAAATCTCCCGTAATAGATGGCAAAATCCACGCGTTTACGTCAAGTAAGGGCTCATTTGCGAAGCGCGGTTGCACTGCGAGATTTACGCGGCCCTGAACGTTAACAACCGGCACTCCCGCTAACCCGCTAATCGGAGTGGTCCACCGCTCACAATTTAAACCTAAACGGCTAACACAATCGCCTGTCACCGCGCTTATCTGTGATGCACTATCAATCAATACACGCATTGTTTGCCAGGTACCCGAACGATCACGTATATGCACTAACGCTGTGCCTAATAATACGGCGGACGATTCACGTTGCGGCGGCTGTAGCGCGGCGGCACACACTGATGTATCCGGGGAGGGGGTATCAGCTACTTCGACGGTACCTGTAGTGGGAGGGTGAAGCAGGACATGATGCCTACGCGAACATTCACGGTAACGAGTTTTCGACTTGCACTTTGGTGCCCATTGGCTACTACTAAAACAAATATAACACAAACGCTTATCTTGCGTCCACCGCGCCCGCGCGTCGACGGACCAGGACTTGAACCGCGCGCAAGTTGTCAAATTATGATGCTCCGCACAGCATGGAAAACTCTTGTCCGAATCAGACGTAACCAATGAGGTAAGAGCAGGTCGGAAACCCTCCGCCTTTCCAAATCGTTCTCCCACCTTACGCGACTGATGTGCCGGTTGACCGACATTTGTCGACGTAGTGGCACCAAACCTTTTACGCGGCTCACCCGCGAGTTCTAAAACAGATACGCGAGTCTGGACGAACTCTAACAGTTGGGCTACGGACGGATACTCTGACGTAGTGGTTGATTCAAACAACTTCCGAGTGGGCACCGGCAACGCGCGMAACGCAATAGAAAATAATATAAACGACCCTAAATCCGGTATCTTCAGTGCGTTTAGTAACGACATATTTCCCGTAAACGAGTTTACAAATTCATTAAGCTCTCGGTGGGATTCCTGAGTCACATATGACGTTTGCAACAACTTATCGACCAAAGACGTAGCCACTAGGCGTGGTCGATAAAAACGAGCAGACARTGTGGACCAGACTAAACTATAATTATCCGCAGATACTGGTATACCGCGWACAGCGTCGGCCGCTGCACCTTTTAAACAACTGATTAAGTAATGCATCTTATCGATATTTGATACATCAGAACGCGAGTCCACCAGTGCCGAAAACCTATCTCGAAATGTTGGCCAATAACGAAAGTCTCCGTCGAAAGATGGTAACGGGATCTCCGGTAAACGCGAGAATGAGGGTGTACTGGAGGTAGACGACTCACAACTATTTGTCATGGCGCCCGTAGCGGGTACTGTCTTGGTTATGTACTTATGTATAACAGGTCAATGGCCTCTGCACCTGTGGGGATGAGACTGGTAGCCACCGCCTTAGCTTCCCCTATCAACTTCCTCACTTCACTTGATAGATCAGTGGAATAATCATTTATTTTATCTAACATTAATAGGCAATCTAATTCAGACTCGTCTTCGCTCTTAAATTGAGACCATAACGAATCTAAATCCGCAGCAAGGACAGAGAATGTTGATGCTAGATGCTTGCACTAAGGCAGTATTCAGTATATACATTTATTATTATTTATTATATTGTAGCAGCTGCGCACGTTGTCTCCCTGTCGGCTGTGATATTAGTGATATGCTCTTATCAAGYTGATGGTGAGCGGCGTGCGTAGCTCCAACGGTTTTGTTTTTATATATTTTCCTGTCATATTGTATTTATTATGGTTTCTCTCTAGTAACTTCGTTTTCTAATTTTTTAAGTTCTTTGTCAAGCTTACTGAGAGGCAGTGCAATCAATTATTGTTCTAGTTTAATTTATTTATTGTATTTCGATGACACTGTCCGTCTGCGAGCTTATAAAAGTCTGGACGCACCAGCTCCGATTCCTGTTTTTCTTTTTTTTTGTCTCTGGGACTCTTTTCGTATTGTTTTTTGTTGCTTTTTTGAAGTATAAAATCCACGTGTGCTGTTCAGCTGCTATATTATTACTCGGTCGCCATTATTATATTTCTTTTGGGTGGTCATTATTTGTATTGGCTTTGTGGTTCCTTGTTCCTGTGGCTTGCTCGTCAGCGGTTACTTTAAAGCGGTCGCACGTGTGCGGTTGACATTGTTATTATATTTTGTGTATTATTATTATTATATTACGTTCCCGGCACGGTCGCGTGGGATGAAATCCGCCGATTAAAGTAACCGCCTGCATTGTATTTTGTGAGTACCTTGTTGTTTGTATAGTATTATTGTATTATTAGAATTTTATATTTTGTGMCAATTGGCTATGTTTTATATTATACTCATGTTTGCATTGGCCGACTGAGGCATATATTATATACATTTTTTATATTATATTCATTTTTGTATTGGCCGACTGAAGCACATATACATACATTCATATTATATTCATTTAATTAGTGCTAATCAAGCACATATACATTCATATTATATTCATTTAATTAGTGCTAATCAAGCACATATATATATTTTTATATTGCATTCTTATTTATGTTATACATTATAGTCATTTGTTGAGCCAGCAGGGCTACTCATATTGTTACACATTATTATCATAATTATTCTATATTATTATATTATTATTCACATTGTTATACATTGTTATTCCATATTATTATTCTCTGGTGTAGAGGCATACCTGATTTTGTTTAAATAAAGGACGTCAGCTGCGCATACACTAGACTTGCATCACCCGATACGCGCAATGCCATGGAGTGTATAAACTTTATCTGCGAAATAACCGCGGTTCGTTTTGCCACAGCACGCGCGGCCATACGTGTAATGCGTTCAATTTCTTTATCGTCACCCATGACGGTGATAAGTACACTAGCACTATAATTATACTGACTAACACTAACAGCAGTGTCCGTGACAATTAATTACGGGGSCAGTGGGTAAACCCGATATACCTTTGGTGTTCGGTGGTGTAACAAATCTATTAACCAACCTCCTAAAACACTGTACGCGACGCAAGGTCGACTCACGTGGAAACCCTAACGAAACCCAAATACACCGCTAACTGGACCCCCCAATAGGTCGGAAAAACCACGCTCTGCTACCAAATGTTTG